CACTCCTTGTGACTTATGATTTCCGATGAAACTGTTCGTTCTTCGTTATTACTACTCCTTTGTCTCACACCTCTGTTTACTGTCTATATTATGCATTTCTCCTACTTTCTTCTCTTCCTTTGTGCGCTACATGGGGTGTGGCGACTTGAACTGCCGCACATATGTGCAAAGTTCTATGTCGAAAACAGACAGACAGATAAGATCACTAATAACTCAGTGTGCCTGCACGTAAATACTTGAAGAAAGTGAGGGAAATAGAAATAGTGGTTAAATGACGGGATTATGGTGATTACCAAATTAATTAAAAAGCTGGGTGGGTGTACAGAAGCCGAGTCTTTATGTATAAAAAAACAGTAATCAGTCTGCATGTTCTTTCTTTGTCGTAATGTAACTCTTCACTGCTTCTCTCTCGATTTCACTTGTCTGATCGCCACTTTTAATACTTATATTTTTGAAGGTAAAGTCTGCAGGTACTTTAAACTGTTCTGGATTAATTCCAACTTCAGCTGTTTATTACGGCACACCTTTTGTTCAAAAGTTATGATAACTTCCCGTATTCTGAATTCCAGAGTTAAGCAATTCTTATTATTGTTGACATTGCGACCGTGTTGTATATCTCAGTCTTATAGTCTGTGTTGTGGTCGAGATAGTGCTAGATTTGTGTTCCTCATACTGATACTAAAACACACGGCAATATGTGGCTGATTACTCGACTACTATTCCCACACTGAGAAGACACAAAAGAGAGACGGAGGAAGCAAACAATTATCCTTTCAAGAGAAGGCAATATGACCAGAAATTACGGCTAATTAAATAGTCATTTATTGTAATCAATAAATTAATATTTTAAGACATAAATACCATGTTTTATCTGTTTTGGATTTATCAATAAAATTCCGATAATCGTGGTTAAGGTTGAATGTCTAGTCTCCAGTTCATGTAAGAAACACTGACTTATAATATGTGTTCTCTTCTCCCTCTCTTAACACTTTATTACTTCTTAAAAAATTACACACCTTTTTCATACACGTAATAATTATTTACACGTATCGTGTTCAGCTGACAAATGCTGTCGGTACTTGTGAATTCTATAAATAGTAACTTTCTTCATATTTATTTTTAAACATACGACCTTTTATTTTTATGCATGCCTTTCAAAATATTTCAGACCACATCAACTACAGGTGAACGTAAACGAAAAGGCAATTTTCTATTTGGAAAACAATTCAAGTCGAATTCCACTTTCTCAGGAGCATCCAACACAACTGGTTGGAAACGGTAAGTATTAAGCGTTGATAGGATCGTTTATCTCTGTTTGACTATAACTGGAGACATTTTTGTGGGTAGTAATTTCTTGTTGCTGCAATGTACTTTTAAAAGTAATGGTTTTCTTGTGGAAAAAGAAAACTAGGGGGGTATCAGGAAGTGTTGGGCATGGTGGGTGGATTTCGCCTTGTTTTTCGTACCTTTAGCATTATATCTAATATGCTAATTTGGTCCGATTGGTTTTTTGTAGTCGAACTACTAAGAGAATTCTTTAGTAATAGAATCAGTTTATTTGATTTTTGGGACTAGAACATGGCCTACTTGTTGAAGTACTATACGTGAATACCATTAACCTTTTTGCCATGATGCATCTGTTTACAAACCTAACGAATTACCCACGCGAATAACTTATCTTTAATGGCTTTTTGTGCAGCTAATGACTAGCTCTTGAAGCCTTCCGATCAGAATTCAAATTGTATGAATGTTGATTATTTTTAGATAGATATTTAGAGGTAGGCAGAAATCTAATCAAATTTCATCCTTTTTTGCAGTGATTTCTTACACTTTTGTTTCTCTGTTTGAATATACATTCTAATATCATTCGCTTAAGTCTTTCCACATACTAGCTTGGACCACGTTATTAGACGCCCAATATTCTAAAGAGCTTTAAAGTTTCGGTAGCGGTGGTCTTACGGGATGGGGTTGCCAACTCCACATTCAACCTTCTCTCTTTACTGGGCTTCCTGCAGGATAAGTGAGACTTAGGAGTGCTTCGACTGAGAATCGAACCCGAATCACGTGCGTCACTAGCGAACATTTCATCACTGGACCACCAACTCACAATAATTATTTACTACTGTTACTATATCTGTAAACATATTACTTCCTCCCTCTATCGTTTGGAATACATTTCCCAGTATTTATGTGTGAGTCCTCTAGGGATTACCAGTTCAAGTCAGAGAGATTTTCAGGCTTGTAATTATTTACAGCCCTATTCAACGGTTATAATATATCAATACCGATTTAATTTGAAGCATTACGAAATAATCAGATTAGAAATTACATTTAATTTTCACTTCTAATAGTCATATACTTTACTGTGCATTATTATTCTGTTTAGAAAACCTCCAACATCCGCGACTTCCAGTTCGAACTCATTTCAACCAAAACTTATGAAACTTTCTGTTAAAGGAGACTAACTTTTTTATTTATTATTTCTTTATTTGTGAACTTGTTTAGTTGTTTTTATGTAACTTTGATATAAATAAATAAAATTTTATACAAAAAAGGCAAACTAACTTTATATGCGATACCATCGTGATGATTTACATCGAATCGTCTTAATTAACCATAAACTTGAGTTGCTAACTGAAGGGTTCTTTGAAAGCTTATAGTGGCTGTGATGCATAAAATGGAAGTTTGGTAGTCTGGTCACGTAGTGAAGTAAAATAATGACTTAGCAAGGAAGATTGTTTTTATGACTTCGCATCGAACTGGTACGATTAAATATTGTCTTTGAAATATCACGTAAAATTACCGACAAGAGTTAATGGTTAATCTGACCGACTAACAAAATATGTGGGAATATATCTCACAGCGAAAAGCTTTACAAATCAGTTAAACAGTTTAATATAACCTTAAATATACACCACGGGTAACTGTTAAGTATCGTTCCGATATTTTCCGACACACGTTGAGCGATATTAGGCGTCACACCCTTCGAATGGTAAACAATGAGTTAGGCGTCCAAGGGTGACATGGAGATCGTGAGAAGATGAAGGTTTACAGGCAATCATTGAGCAGATTGAAAAGGACAGTGGAGAACAAGGTGAAATGGAGATGTGTTGCTGCAGTCCTGTCTTCCATTGCGAACCAAAAGGAATAATATTAAAATAAAAGCTTTATAAGTAAAGTATAAACAGAATAACAAGAAACTGCTTGGGTTTCCTGAAGTCTAAGTCATCTGGCTTGAAGAAAAATGATGATCTATCTAAGTCTTCCTTCGTAACACACCCACTCTATCACCATATTATTCTCCTGCATTCTTCACATCACTTAGTTTATCGTTTGACCGGTCAGTCCTTGTCTTACAAACAGACTGAAGTCAGATTTGGGTATTACTAGTGTTTTAATTCGGTTACTTTAAACGTTGTTACTATAGTTCTACTTAGTTTTTAAGTTAATTTGCATTTCCCATTGATTGATGATGTCGGACCGAAATGCTCAGTCTTTTTCGACATGTTGGCACGTAGCGAGTACGAATCCTTCGAAAATATCTGAGGACTAACATGATGTTATTTTAGTTGCTAGTGACCAGCAATAGAACCTAGGATGTTAATTTTGGACAATTGTTAGGCATTTGAAACGATGGCTACAGCGTTCAAGTTTTAGTGGGGAACTCTACCACTTACTGGGAATGCGGGTTCGTCCAGATGACGAGCCCGAAATATGACAAAAATGGGTATTCTAGATCTCACTGCTAACCACTATCAACCAAAATATGTGTTCATAGTTCTTATTATTGCTACCAAGGTAACTGTATGTTGCACAATAAGGTGTATTTTTACAAGTGTTACCTGTTTTCACTTATTGTACGTTCACATAACTTAATAATTATTTATTGTAATCATGTCCATGTTGTTTCGTTTGATGTAAATAGTCATCAATGTAGAGTATCCGGCCGATGAACCCTATCGAATTCCTTATATTCTCTTCCTTTTCCCTGATAATTGACATTATTTGTAAAGTGATAGAATAATTATAACATATGAGATTTTAAGGACTCATTTTATGTAAATACCGTTATATGAATTCCGACCATATGAGATAAACTGTTTCGTAACAATTAAAGTGTTATATTTGTATAAATCATTTTGGAAGGTGGAGCTCATTGGTTTATCTATTGTGTCCCAGGTTTGAACCTCGCTCTACCTACAGAAGTTTTAGGCTACCAAGTAGTGTCAGCTCGTACACAATAAGAGTGGCTTTTTGTCATCTACTTTGAAATGCAAATAGTTGTTGAGCGACATTTCTAATATCGATGGAAAAAGTTTACGGTACTTGTATTTCTAATTATGACAGGTATTACGAGTCTGCCTTCAACTTTATTTTTATTAAAACTGCGGTAATACTGGTGTAACCACTGACGACAAAAAAAAACTAACATTTACACTTGGGTAGAATACCAATAAAGCAACACTCGAACAATTCATTTGCAGATGATACCACTTTCAATTGCTTTATTTTTCAAGAGTTAGTTTGTAGAGATTTGATTGTTTTGAAGTTTAACGAAACACTATCATCACTTAGGAAATCACCGAAAACCAGGAAGTATTGGACGTCTGTTTCGTCCCAGTTCGGGACTCTTCAGCAAAACGCATTCACGAATCCGATCGGAGGACAAGTCTTTCATGTTCCAGGTTATGAGCGATACTTATTGTGTGACGGCTGATGACACTACCCAGTTGCCCAGGCTAAAGTAGGAGCGGTACTCGAACCTGTGACCCGCTGACTGAATGCCGAATGCTTAAACCAGTGAGCCACATCTCCACTTACTGGTCATAGTCTACTCTTATACTGTTCCAAATATATATATGAGCAATTATTTTACATCCATCAAATTCACTGTTCACTTCAGCAGTTTTCACACATTTCTGATGGTAACTGAATCACAAAGTATTTTCCTTTTAACCCATTATAATACTTTGCATCAGTACTAAGTAAAAAGAATAAGGTAAATATCAATTGTATTTCACAGTAACGCGTTGAAAGGTATTTCACTAAAGCGCGTTTAGACAATTGGGAGACAAAAAAAACGTCAAAGAACAGAAGTTATATAACTAAAAAAACAAAACAATAAATCTCTCAAAGTAAAATTTCATCTACTTTAAAATTCCACACATCTGGTTGAACTGTTATCATGAGAATACACAGTCAATTTTGTAGCATAAATTTAATAAATATGCATAATCAAAATGCCAGTTAACCATCCTTGCTGCTGTTTCTGCTGCCTGTAAAACATAAAAGTTTGATGTCATAACCATTAATGTGCTGGGAAAAAATATATATAATAATAGTAATGTATCCCTTTCAGTTGCTTGTCTCTATAAAGATGCTAGTTCCGGTGGGAGTTCAAGTTGTGCCAAATCACGGAAATGTAACAGCATTGCCATCATTTTTGTTAAGCGTGGTACAGTGGATGAAACACCAGAATAACTCATGGAATTTGTAGATACACAGCCTTTTCCTTCCTCCGGTGTGTCAATTTCATCTCCTGATGATTCGATATGTCGTAGAATAGCTCGATTTAACGCTCCTGCAACCACTTCAGCGTGTTGAGGACTTAATAACTTGCCATAGATACTTTCAGCTGGATTGTCAAAAGCTAAAAGTGCCATTGTATTTTGCATTTCATTCAACAACTGCGGATGTTCTGATAAACGTTTAGCAACTGGATCTGCTAAATAAGACTGAGCGAATATAAGTGCATCTTCCAAACGTTTGTTACGTATAAGTTCTAACATCTGCAGTTGGCGGAGCTAGTCAGAAAATAATAAGTAGTATATTACTAAAGATGATATAAAGTAATGAGAAAATCTCATCAATTTGTGACAGTAACGATAAGTTATTTAAAATAACGAATAAATACATGCACTAAACTAGTGATTATGCAACAGATATGTATAGAATAATAATGATGCTTACATTGTCACTATCTCGAACCTATCGTATGTTAATGCCAGTGCCATTCTATTTGATTTTAAACTTCTATGGGCGTCAATAATTTCCTGGATGATTAATGAATACTTCAGTTGGCTGTCCCGGCCGATAGCTGCCACGCTGACGTGGTGTTCGGGCTTGCATATCGCAATGAGTCAACGAGCTACACTGCCTGCGTCGAATGTGTCTGCAGGTCTTACCATGCCAGTAAAATTGTCGTTTAGATAGCCGTTACACCAAAAGTTGTGTACACTATGTTGAGGGTCCGTGGGCAAAGTCGCTTTCGTAGCGAATAGGGGTGTAACAGTAGTAAGGAGTTTCTCCCAGATGACCAACAAGCCAACTACATTGCCTCCTCCACTCTTGAGATGGGGCTTGGAAAAGGTCGATCTCGGAAATGGTACATTCTGACTTGCTTTGTGGCAGTCCGTAGCTAGCGTGAACATCTTCATACAGACGGAACCCCTGGCACCACTTCAAATAGGTTGTGTCTAACCTGCCCCAAGCAGTTGTCCCCAGGACTCTGCGGTCGCGCAACTGGAATGCTCTTTCTGTTTCAGGTACCCCAGGGAGAAACCAACTTCCACAATGTGGGCAACGGGGAAGTAAAAAGTGTCCACACTTCCACAAGCACACAAGGCTTTTCTAACCATCACTCACCTAAGACTTTTTGCCTACTGCAATAAATAATGTATATGATTTACAAATCCACTTTTTACCAGAACTCACTTTTTTCATAATTGTCACCTAGAGAGGTCCCACTGCTACATAAGTTAAATACTCTAGATAAATTGTATGGCCTACTACAAGCGTACATGAATAGTCACAGACTTAAAGAAATCAGATGTCGAATGCTCTGCAGAAAATGATTCTTCTGGATGAAACTAATTCACAGCAGAAATAATCTTCGAAGCAGTTGAATTCACAGCACACCAACAAACTACAATTTAACTGTTCACTACTGATTAACGCCAAGTTCACCTCGGAAACTGTGATGAAGTGAGACAGTAACTGGTCAGTGATTGCGCGGTGTCGCTAATCGGGAGCGCCTAGAAATCACAGACTATTACAATCCTTAACAGACTGATGAGTGATAACGTGCATACCTTACAACCTAAGAATCCTTTGAACTATATCTCATGACTCTTAGGTGTGCATGGATGATGATAAACTCCCTAATGAAGATAACTTTTCCGATTTCTAGTGCCATTCGTTTATGGCCTCTATTCTCCCCGAAATCAGATTTTATGGAAAAATCTCTTTATTCCTAATTTACATAAGAGTTGTGAGATAACTTGGTAATAATTTGTTAAAATCTAAACAAAAGCTATTGACAAAGTCGTGGACTTTTCACTTGAATCATGTATGCAAACATAGACGGAGAGCCTATAGTCCAGTGGTCAGTAATCTAAATGCTGCTACTGAAAGCTGAAACAATTTGCAGTTGAGTACGTGCAAACCAACGTCGACATCTTTTTATCAGTACATCATAATTCTACGGTACTATTTCTTGCTGTATTAAAAACCAAACTGTAATACAATTGTGTTTGCTGCTGTTTCACTCAGGCTGTTACAACACTCGAACATCTCAATAAGTATCGCTATCAGGCATAACTTTTAGAGTGGAATGCTAATCAATTTTTTGTTAAATTGTTTATTTTGGAAAACGGGTGAAATATCCTACCTGGAAGTAAATAAAAGGATTTTTGTCGAAAAGCTCAGGCCATAATCGATTTACTGCATCGATAACATCTTCAATTTTCCTTAATAAGACTGCTTCACGGATCCACATACGATCATCCAAGCTTGCACCTGCAACTTGTAATTCATTGAAAGGTTCTACGATTCCTGTCTCACGACTAAATTTCTCAGCAACATCTTTGTAGCCTTCTACTACAAGATATTCTAGAATGAGTCGATTGATTTCTTGTCTGGTTAAACATAATCCATCTTGTCCGTCGATTGGGTTAAGTGTATGAAGAGGGACATCAAGTGATGTGTTATTTGATGGTGCATCAGAACAAACTGCACTAACAGGTGCTAATTCAGTTTGCCCAGAGGTCGCTTCACTGTGTGAAGTGGACATGGATCTTTAATTTTAAAAATAGGAAGCAAAATGAAAACGATTAATGAAACCATTACTAATATGAATGTGAACTCAGTTCGTTTATCTGGTGGTATATCTTTAAGTAGACAATAACAACAAAGGAGTTACTAATTGTTAGTTACCTTCCAAAATGGTACAAATCAAGTAAACGATTAAATTAAGAGGAGTGACAACCAGGTATTTTAAGATGTTCAATATCAAAGAAGGCAGTATCAAGTGTACAAAACAATCCGGAAATACAGTTACGATAGAAAATAAAGTATCAATTCATCTGAGCTGATTAAAGTCTCCAAAACTATGTTTTCATAATTACGTCTACTCACTTACACTTCCTACACAGCTGAGGCTCCGTGAATTAGTATCCCACATTGATCTGATTACCCTTCCCTACCTTTTCTTAGAATATAGCATATCAAGGACGGTAGATAAGCATGTAAAACATAGAAACTAGCACCGTCTTATCTAACGAAGTGGAGGTCCAGAAAGAATAACAAATATTCAAACGCCATATGGTATGGGGTTTAGACAACTTTTTCTCCAGGCATCTTTCAAGGATGGTAGCGAGAATCTAATTAGAGAGGTGTGAGTATACTGTTGGGAGGAAATATTGTTGAAGTTGAGTGTCCCATTAACATGAGATGAGACCATCACTAGTCATCTTTGAAAACAGCCTACATAGTGCATTTGCGTATTAGTCTGTTAGTAGTTGCAGCAAAAATGTCGGCTGCTATTGCGCTCAGCAGACTTTTTTAGATGCATTGATTCGTTGAAGAAGATTTACCCAACAAGTGTCCACCGTTCCTCAGTTTTAAAACACCACGTGTATTACAGACTAATGATCTTTGGTGTGGTTGTATTCTCTGAGCTGGATGGTTAATTTGCAAAGCTTTAATTGCCTTACTAGGTAACATCCCCAGCGCATACTTCAATTTTAAGTGAGCTTATAAATTTCTCCACGAGTTTATTAGTCGCAAGTAAACCATCCAGCTCAGAGAACACAGCTGCATCAAAATCATCCATCTGAGCTACGAATCTCCGTTAAAACAGATGATTTTTGTTTTGTGATATTGCGGCTGCTTTCGATTCGTCAGAAGTCTGTTGGAGAGACGTACTCCTAGGAAGTTTACTAACTCTTCAGGAAGTGAAGGCATACACCATTGTTCTCAACCAGCAATGAGATCAAACAAGACTGCTCCATTCTACCGATTCTCTTCGATTTTGCCATTAATGACGTTTTGAAGACATTTGTGAAGGATGTAGGTGGTTATTTTGCAAATCTGTCGTCTGCAAACAATAACCTACTACTGTTATAACTCGTGGGCCATCTGATTCACACTTAATCAGTGTGCAACTATTAGTAAGCATGGTATGTCTCACTCTATTCAAGAGAAAGATATTTGCACGGCTGAAAAATATCTGTACCCTCACTTGCCTTTGGAGGCGAACTGTTAAAGGTATTTGAGTAGTTCACGTATCTGGGAAGTTGTGAGTCCTGGTGGTATGCCAGATGAAATCCATAGTCCCAGAAGGCATGCACCAACCACGACCACTACAACGTCAGTCAAAGATTGGGTTTACAAGGTTTCAGTGCATCCTGTCATGTTTCTAAACTTGTGAAACCTCAGCCTCGCGAGAGGAAGATGTGTAATGAATCTTGAATCCCAGGGTATCAGCGAATGTACAATTACTACTTCCTACGGTATGTTTACATATTGTGAACGTTATCTATCTATCTAAAATTAAAAAGGAAGCCGTAGAGGAACTTAGGAACTTAAGACTAGGTTAGATAAGGGGAAAAACATCCCTAAGATATCGGGTTTCCGGATGGTAAGGTCTTGGAAACCAATGTTGCTAAAACCTATACTCAAAAGTCGTATGAGAACACAGATGTATCAGTGTGCTATGAGAAAGCAAGGAGACTTGGAACAAGCTTCTGAATTAGGAGCATTACCTGAAGCGCTGCAATCTCATCTTATTACTGAAACATGGTTGTTAATGGGTGTGAACCTCATTCCACAAATACTGGGATATATCTGCGTTAGAACAGAGTTAATCAAAAAACGTGGGGTCACTTTATACATTCGGGATGATACAGGAATAAGATTCGACGGCTTCAAAAGGCCATGATAGTGGAATTAATGAAGCCACAAGTTGTTCTTTTATGTTAAATAAGGGTACTGTAACGACATAGGTTATTAACAAAATTCCCGCCTATCACGCTGGTGACTTCATTCTAGGTCACCTGAGACTGTGGAGTAGTAGAAACAGGTGTATTGTATTAGGTGAACTTATACTGCCGCCATATATTAACATCAACCAGCCTGACAATCTTCGAATATGCACTCGTACAGATGTGCTTGCATCAACAAGGTGAACCCTGAATATGACGCATCTATCGTGGACTTAGTGTTTACACACCAGGACATAACCAAAATTAGGTGCTTTCCTCCAATAGGCAGTAGTGACCACGTATTCATTACTTCTGCTTTTAAGATTCATGAATTCATCCATAGGTCAATCTGGAATATGGCAGACCTAACTGACTGGTTAGTTAATACAAATGGAACTGTTGAGAAAGCTTGGGTGAAATTTAGGCATACATTAGAATATATCAGTTCATATTTTGTACTTTGGTTTACTCCTTGAAAGCTATCATACAAACCACCTTGAATTATTGATGAAATAAAGTTATTAAGATAGAGGAAAAGTTTTAGGGTCAGTTCACTGTAACAGGGAGAAAGAAATTTCGGATCGGCTACCATAAAATTCGGAACTCCTGCAAGCATTTGATTATTAAAGTCGCATAAAGTGCCAGAGACAGTGTTGGACTGCCTACATTGTCTAAAAAGACTAGTCGTATGTTAAAAATAAAACTTAAATCAGCAGTAGTATGCCATTACTGATAAACGATACAGGTGAGGCGGCCTAATCAGATGAAGTGAAGGCTGCAAACCTTTCTGAATACTTCTGTAATATTATGACAAAGCAGTAGTTTTAAACTACTAATAGAACTGGAGCCACGTGAGCCACTAAGGTTTGACAGATTCTGCCATAGACTGATATTCCCCTTAGATGTAATATACCTACCACTTATGGAAATTTTTAAATTCACTGACACGGGCTACGTTGACTAGGGAATGAAAGGCTGCGGTTATGAACCCCAGAGGTGAACAGCCAACTGGTATCTAAACATTGGTCTCTTAGTCTGATATGAATTATTTCCAAGGTATAAGAAAGTCATGAGAGAACAGCTATTAGCTTATATGGAGAAACATAGCCTATTGGGGGAGGGACAGTATTCCGACCGAGACGATCCTGCTTAACATACATAATGTCAATTAGAGAAAAAAGGGTAGAAGCCAAGGTTGGAAACCCACCTCTGGACATCGTTTTCATCGATTTAAGTAAAGAAGTTCGGACCAGTTTGCCGAACGAAACGTTGGAATTACTCATTTCAATCTCGCTGAGATTTTATTAATATAATTTTTTACAAATGTCTACTTCTCACTCGGCGCCCAAATATTTTAAAACTTTTCTGTCAAATCTTGACGACAGTTCATTTGAACATTCAATAGGATGTTCCTTGGTTCCTCCCTAGTACACTAAAAGGTATCTGGATTAGACCAGTGCCTATTTGATCAGTTTAGGAACTACCACTGGGTAGGAGGCAAAACGTAGGGGTTAATTTTGTACTGATGAGGTGAAGATCAGTATCTAGTGGATTAACACGGGGTACTGTTTTGGAGCTCTCATATATATGGATGAACTGCTGAAAATTCTTACCTTATCATTATTATTAGCAACTGATATTAAGATCCGGAAAACTGTAAGTAATAATGATGACAGGTTAGCATTGAAAGGTGATTCAGGTAAAATGACTCATTGTTCCCGCTTCTGGAGTCCGGAAGTTAACACCCATAAGAGCGGAGAAATGTACCCAGACCAGAGGTCCCAGACATAGTACTTCATAAAGGACACAGAAACGCTTGATGTTAAGAGTAAATAGAATTATTAAATTATTGTCAACAATCATTTACAAAAAATGCATATTTTATACAGCGACAGATAAGGCTTTCAAACTGCACGAGAACTTCGAAGGTCTTTCACACGTTGAGTTTATGTCGACAGAATTCCACACAGAATTAGTCAAGGCTCACCTACACAATTAGCTTAAAAGCGGCCAGATACAGCTTGAATAGGTCATGAGCAAAGAAAAAGAAGACAACTCCAAAGTAAATTCAATCAAAGGTGTGAATACACGAAATAACACTAGGATGAAATGGAATAAACATATTTGTGATTATAATCATGATTAAATGTCAAGTGGCAAAAGATTCATTGTCATGTCCAGAATAATTCATGGGATGTATGGATGTTTGAAAGGGGTGTATAATTATAGGGTTAGTAGGTTAATATATGTGTAAAACTTGGGCACTGTTGCAACTTTTTAACGATTCTGTGGATCTCTTCTTTCAGGCATAATTTTTGTAGGCTTTAGTAGGCTAATATAAAACGTCACATAACATGGTGTGAAATTTGATAGAAATCAACATTGCAAAAATTTTGGATTTAGAATGACAAGTGGAAACAAATTGAGAATAATGATAATCGTGGTATTGAGGGAGAGGTACAAAGATTAACTAAATAAACAAAATCAATACATTAATGTCTATCTCTCTACGGCCAAGGCAGAAATAGGGATTGTACAAACTTCTTTTGTACACAAAGGTCTGGCTTAAATTCATGAATGGCCAAGGCACTGTTACAGAACTCAAGGTCCAGTGATACACCTTGTAGTTGATTTTCAGAAAGAGCGACAGAATAGTCGAACATATATTTATTGGGATCAGTCGGGAATCTCTTCTGCTAGTACCTGCTTGAGACTGTCAAGATGTTTGGGATTAGCAGACAGGGACTGTTATTCGATAACAAGCGAAATATATTCTCCGACTTGTTGGCGTTTATGAGTTCTCAAAGATATGCTCCTATTTAACTCCATAACACGGGAACTGGTTGCATCAATACGGTTAAAGCGACATACAATCAATCGTATTGATGCAATCAGTTCCCGTTCGTTCCAAATCCATAATTTTTACAATGTTTAATTCTGTCAAATTTCACACCATGTTATGTGACGTTTTATATTAGCCTACTAAAGCCTACAAAAATTATGCCTGAAAGAAGAGATCCACAGAATCGTTAAAAAGTTGCAACAGTGCCCAAGTTTTACACATATATTAACCTACTAACCCTATAATTATACACCCCTTTCAAACATCCATACATCCCATGAATTATTCTGGACATGACAATGAATCTTTTGCCACTTGACATTTAATCATGATTATAACTACATTTCATGTGAGCTAGATAGGTCTATTGGAGATATAGAATTCATTTGAGTGTGTGTTTGATTCCACGAAGGGGCTTAGTCAAATAATGTAAAATCTATCACAAAACTAGAGGCATTCTGTTTGTTTTCCTAAATCCAACCCAAACTTACCTGAGTGCAAAGGCGCCAGGACTTATGACCTACTGAACGGTTGAGTTAAACAATGCTTGTGTAGAGTTAAAGATACACTTTCATTAGAGGATATTTTATATCATGTGAAAGTTCTGAAACTTAATAAACTTTGAATAATTTGCATAAAGAGCAGAAGCAACAAATGGCGTTTCATGGGTTTCGAAACTTACAGAATATCAATTTTAAACGTAGATTTAGTGGTCTATGTGAAGTTCTGTTGTTCAGTCATTTTGCAATGAAACTAATAACGATGTATATCAAAAACGATCGGACCTTTTCTTCTTCTAATATGTTTGGTGGCGAGATATTTAAGCATCACTTATTACTCAAGCCGTGTAATAATGGGTTGTTTACGGTGCAAAAGTGAAATCACTTCTCCTATCAAACACATGTTTTATGAAGGCCCATAAACCCTCCTTTTGAAGGCGTTAGTTCACTGGAATGACATGAAAAGAAGCGAACTGGAAGAAAATGAGCCGGTAAGGAAAGTTGCTACTACGAATTGATTTACAAGTCTTCTCCGATTTTCACGACAACCAGCAAGTTTGCTTTCTAATGATATGAATCCACAGGTGGTTGAATTGCTCATCATTAACAAATCTGTTGATAAATCTCTTCGAGCAGTTCTACGATTGAGACAGAAGTGTCTTGCCATATCAGCCATTTATTCTGAGAACTTCTCTACATATTCCACAAAATTCATCGTGATTCAGGCCTGCTGTAGCATTATAAAGGTGCATGTGATAATTTTGTACTCTCGCAATTAGTCTCATTTCGCAGGTTGACAGCGTCCTGATCAAATAAGTTTACATTTAAAGTTTTGAAACACTCACCTCGTATTTACTTACTAGGAGTTATATGTTATTGCATTGTCGACAGGTGGAATTTTTGAAGTTGATAAGTTGTTTCACAGATCATCTGAATCCACTTCTCTCTTCACAGCCTTTAACAGACACTATATAAAGAAGATTTAGGACAGGCAGATAGCTCAGGTAAACTGGCAGTTAAGAGCGGAGATACTGTCTGACAAAACAGAGGAACTTGTGGCAATTCAGAGAATTGTCCCCTCAAATTGCAGCTTGCACAAAAAATTCGCTCAGTCGTAGAATTCTAATTAGTAATACCAGTGAGGTGGAAATACTCATCTGATAGGATTTCAAGAAGAGAATGTCAGTTGTCAGCCATAGAAGCGGAATAAAGAGGGAATAAAATGGCGTATCCTCTAAACATTGTGAAGTTATTCATCTTTTGAAGCGCCCCCAGTCCACCCTCATACTGTTCACAGTTAAGACGTTTATCCGGCAAATTTAGACTCATTGCCAAAACAAACTTCTGCATGAAGCACATCTATTTCCTTTAAAACGTGATAATGCTACTTAAAAGGCGTCGACAGTCAGAATGAGGGTTACTCAAGATGCAGAGCAACTGCTTTGAGATGGATACACAAAACTGTAATTCTTCTACTCTCTTGTTCGTCAAAGGACTATCAAGTCATTTTTTCAAATGATAAAACCAGTGTTTCCGGACGAAAACAGTAGGCAGATTGTCTTTGTTTGTTGACTCATTTTGGCATTCGCACATATCCTTGTCACTTCTATGACACTGTTGTAGCCGTTTATTATCTTTTAGTCCTTATATTTTAGTAGTTCTAGTGTGACCTTCTATTAGTCTGCAGTGTTGAACGATATGCCATCGTGTCTCGTGATGACCAAGTAAAATCACAGAGTGCTTAGTTGAAATTGGCAATTCGATTTAGGACTTTATCCAAAATACTGCAGTCATTCTACGAGAATTTTAACCAAGCATTTGTTATCACCTTGAAGTTTTGTTATCACCCATCAAGCTCATGGGGTTCCACGAAAATTGACAGCTTACGTCTGCCTGCATTTACCTCCCCAGCTAGTGGGCGACACATGTTAAGGGGCCTTCTTTGGATATTGGGTTTCATGGTAGCTGCATAAAACACATCCCTTCAGTGATCTGACTTTGCTTTTGCAATAATGAATAAATAAATAAATTTATTCTCATAGTACAGTACATGAGGGACTCCAGTTTACAGGCATCATCAAATTGTTACAGAAATAGAACCATATAATTCAATCACAATTTACAGGCGGTAGCAAGATATGCTTTAAATTTTCGCTGGAGATTATAAATACACTTGATAAATGTCATTCCCAGTAGTATAAAACAGCCTTTTCACTTGTATACAATCATTTCTGTGCACAGTTGGAAAGATCTTCTAGATTGTCACTGAGTGCAACGCATCAGGAAATACAGAAGTATTGTCTTCGCATTAACAAAAAATCCAGGTCTTTGGTGAATGGACTATAAGTGCCTGGGAAAAAATTTTCATACATAACTTTGTTGTGTGCAGAGTCACTGAATTATGATGCATTCATGTGTTATATATATATATAAATCATATACCCATCATTTTATGATCCCACCTTATTTTATTTTTTCTCTATGGACAAGTGTTTCATACTGTGATTTCAGGGGCATGAAATCTTAGTAAATTTCTTCGCCTTGTTTTGTGGTATATACATTTCGTCACATTCTCCATAAAATGATAGGCATACGGTGACCATTGGCAACGTGTCCTTAAATCACGTCGTATCTGGATCCAAAAGAATATATAGAGGTCTAGATTTCGTCAAGTTTTTGAGCTCTACTAATTTAATTGGCACAGTCTCACTGCTCTGATCTATGTATTGAATATCAAAGTTGTCCGAAGGTGTCGAATAGATTAGATCTAGATCTTCGCCGCAATAACTAGAGGCTTCTGTTACCTTTTCAAGCACTAGTGGGTGCGGTAACAGTTGCGAGTTATGCCGAATGATCGCTCATAGGGAAAAGAAACATAAGTATGCTTTTTTTGACGGCTGATACAGCTTTCGTCGGAAGAAAAGAGTTTGTGGTAGTTCTCTGTGGTCTGCAGTTTGGAAGTTCCAGAAGTTAACGTTTATTTTCATGAATAGCAAATGCGTATGGAAACGCTTTGCTTATGCTGATGAGAATGAAGAGTGATGGCTAAGTTCATTAGGCAGTATTTATGACTGATAGTCCTGTCCTTAACGGCCAATGAAGGCATTTAACCACACTGCTCGGTCGAGGATTGTAAGTTGATTTTCTGACGCTAGTACATCCCAGGTGTTTAGTTAAAGCTAAAATCAGAGCGCTTAAGAATTGTCGGCCAAGATCGGCTGTCATGAGAGATAATCATTTGAACATCATTATCCATCTCCTCAAAAAACGCACGCCACCGTCTCAGCAGATACGTCACTTAGGAGTACAGCTTCCAACCACCGAGCAAAATGGTCAACACAGGTGAACATGTGGGAACATCTGTGGAGTTCTGGAAGGGTTGCAGTCATATATATATCAGCGTGGTCAGATCGAGCATTCGGAGTAAGAAAGCTGCCAAGAAGACCTATTTTGTGTCTTACTACTTTGTACTTTGGCGAACTATGCACGTACATAATCAAAGGTGATAGCTGAAATTTTAGGATGACACGTATTGTGGACATTACGCCGATAGTGTTCTGTGGTAAAGGAAGGGGAATATCTGCAGGAAAACCACGAAGAATAGTATGTTCACACATGCCCAAGGGTTTCTTCTGCACTTCCAGAACTAAAGCTCACTGGTTTTTGCAAAGACGAGACAAAGGTCTATGCCACCTATGAGAATAAAAAAGGCAGATGAACGCCAAGGCATTTTCACTAGTGCTTTTGACCCCAGTTACATGGTATGAACTGTAAACTTTAGTCCAGCTGGCGCGTTTCCCTTTGAGAATATCCATCTGTCATTAAGTCTAGAGAGTATGTGAGTGGTCTCTGGCCCTTAAAAACAGTTTCGTAACTCTCACTCAATTAACAAAAGTGATGCACAGCACAGGATATAGCCAGATGCTCCCTGCCAAATGTATTGTATTTATTTTGGCTGTCTGTAGCAGACTCGAGAAGAAGCTTAGTGAGCGTTACCGATGGTCGTTGTGGAATTGAATTAACTAAAGTGCTAAATGTATCGACAATGGTACACAAGGGTGCTTCGCGATACTGATATGTTAATAATATGATTTCCATGGTAGCATTTTCAGCTCTATCTAAATTTTTCTGAACAGAACGGTCGAGATTAGTTAGTGTGTTAGTGTTGGCAAGAATGTGTGTTACATGCTTCATTAGATCGGCGCAGTTGGTAATGTTGTATCAATAAGACTTTAGAGATCACTAAAAAATGGGAAGATGTTTCATGATTCTGGAATAGTTCAAAATTGAGTTAATGAGCTGATACTAACGTGGTCAATGGTGTGGCTGGAGGAGTCGAGTGTTTCTATTCTTATTTGATATATCTGGGTGTTCATTGTAACGCAGTGTTGGAGCAATCTGTCAGAGACCAAGTCAAAATGTCGAGGGTGAATTTCCTGATCTAGAAATACAACGACGTCGTCAAGGTATGAGTGTACAGAGACTGGGTCGTGGAACACTTCATCTATGAAGCATCGGAATGCTTGCACTGCATTTCAAAGTATGGATGGCATGACTATGAATTCGGACTGTCTGATTGGCATGCACGTGGCTGTGTTCAGAATGTCTTCTAGTGTCTTTGGAATTTAACCAAGTCAATTCTTGAAAGAAAGCAGTCATGCCTGATAATGTTGCCGTCAGTACAAAGATACATCGCCCTGGGTAGAACTCTGGGCTAGATTTTGCGTTTGTACATCAGTAATCAGCTGTGAGTCATCAATCACTGCTATCCGTCCCTTTAGTTACCACGTAACCCAAAAAAGTCATGGCTGAAGAGAGGTACGCAACGTATTCGGCAAGCAGAGCGGAAGGATTGGTTTATGTGGCGAGTATCCAAAAGTCAGATCGGCCACGATGCATACCTGGAGCTCAGGAACTGCTGCAACTTGAGAGTCATGAGGGACAGGAGGTCATTCCAGGGTAACCTTGATAAAAAAATCATAGCAAACCCAAAAAGCTTGTACCGATTCATGTCGGAAGGAAAACCAACCAACCAGGGGGCATGCGCCTTAGTAGGCCCAAACGGTCAATATCTCACTAGTCTGGAGATGGCTGAAACATTCAGTTTAGCCTTCACTAAACAGTTAAACAGCAATGCGGGTATTACCGGTACGAACCAAAGTGGTGGTCCTGCTATTTCACAGGAGGAAGACCTTGTGGCTACTCCCAAAATAAATTTGGCAATAGTACAAAGGAAGCTACAGCGACTCACACCTGAGAAGTCCCCAGGCTGTGACGACATCAGGCCATCAGTTCTGAAACAGTGCGACAAAGCTCTCTGTAGGCCCTCATGTGACTTGTTCCAACACTCAGTGGAATCGGGGAAACTGCCAAGGGAGTAGAAAAGAGCCATCCTTTCCCCCATCTTCAAGGGTGGGGATAGGCAGAATGCTTTTAGCTATAGACCAGTAGCTATACTCCTACTGGTATCAAAAGTAGTGGAAAGTATTATTGACGATCACATCAGGGAATACCTCTATAGGTCTAATATACTCCATGAAACCCAACACGGTTTCAGGAAAGGCAAATCCTGTGTTACTAACCTACTATCAGCTTGGGACGATTGGACATCATGCTGGGATATGAAAGTTCCAGTCCATGTGGTCTTCCTAGACTTTGAGAAGGCATTCGACACTGTTCACCATGACCTTCTCCTGCACAAAATAAACCAGGCAGGTATAGGTAAGCCACTTCTGTCATGGTTACAGGACTACCTAGTTGAAAGGTAATTTAGCACTAAGGTCAATCGAGTCCAATCATCTTGGCACAGCTCGTCATCAGAAGTGTCGCAGGGTTCTGTCCTAGGACCACTGATGTTCTTGATTTTTATCAATGATCTACCATGCCGTCTAAGCTGCCCGACTCTTCTATACGCTGATGACGTGAAGATATGGAGGGTGATAAAGTGTCCGGAGGACTCAGATAGACTGCAGGCAGATCTAAGGCCTCTGGAAGACTGGGCGGTAACCAGTGGCATGACTTTCAACCTGAAAAAGTGCAAAGTAGTGAAGTTACGCACCTGTAGACTGCAGAATGCAAGTTACACCCTGTGCAATGAAAGCTTGTTCTGCAGAGCGTCGGAACGCGACTTAGATCTAGTTCTAACGGAGAAAATGGACACAAGCGTAAATTGCACAGGGGATGTAGCGAGGACATATGCGGCCATACAATTTACACATAGATGCACTCACTCCTGAGCTTTTTCTAAGGCTGTACAAAACATACGTCAGACCACATGTTGAAGTGTATAATATTATTGCATCCCCACTGCTTAGAAGAGACGCCAACCTCTTGGAAAGAGTCCAAAGACGGGCGACAAAAGGAGTGGTTTGTCTCCGAAATAAAACAATATGATGAAAGGCCAAAGAAATTAGGCCTATTCGCAATTAGCTACCGTCGTCTTAGGGGGATTTGATTACTGCCTACAAAATAACAAATGACCAGAATCACCCAAACAAAGGTGTTCTACCATTGAGTAGGTATAGGCATTCTCGTAGAAATCCTAGAAGGATAGCTCATCAAAGGGCAAGGACCCGGGTGCGCTCCCACTTCTTTTCACTGGAACTCCTTACCGGCAGATGTAGCTATGGTATCGTCTGTGGATACCTTTGAACGAAGACTGGACAATGATGCAGCAACACAAGGGCTGCGTTTAAATGGTCTATCCCCTTAAAATCCCAAACACCATTCAGGGGTAGACGACTAAGTTCGTCGTCTACTTCGTTACATTCTCTCCCGTCTTACTTTCCTGACAACTTTAACTACACTTAATATTGCTATTATCATTATTACCGATATATATATATATATATATATATATATTTGGTGTTCTTAGTTTGTGCTCGTCGAGACTGTGTGTTTAGCACATAAATGTTTAAATTACCCTTGTATGAGTGAAAGTAATGATTTCCAAAATTCAGATAGTAAATTTGACACAACAGAAACCAGTCAATTTTCTATCAGTCTTGCTGAATTTTTTCACGTGGAAAGTATCCAACTAGCTGCATTTCTATTCGCTTTCATCCTTGTAATTGGCATTCTGTTGACCCTGTTGATTGGAATAATGATTATAATTTATTGGCGTAAAATGTTATCCTATGGAAAGCATTCAATGAAAGCGTTTACTAATACCAATACCACTATTCATAGAGATAATACTGCAAACAATAAATTTGATGAGAAGGATATAAAACCATTGGAGTTCAATCAAGTCTACACAAGAAAAGGTATTCTAGAATTCAGTATAACGTATTGTACAAAATTGCATACACTGACAGTTGAAATTATTCGTTGCAGAGATTTACAATATCCACAAGAGTTACCTAACTATAATACACGTGTCACAATTACTTTAGCCTTTTGGGATGATACTCATTGGATTATATTAGATCATCAGCAAAGAAAAACAACCTACATTAATGGTTTGAATCCGGAATGGAATGAAAAATTTGACTTTGCCTTATTACAACCCCAGTTGTTACAAACAAATCTAATTATTGAAGCGTATACATGCGATTCAATTGGTCAAGATACATGTGTTGGGCGGTTAGATTTAGTATTAAAAGATATAGATTTAAATTTATTTATGAACAAAGTGTATACACTGTGTGAAGTGTTGAAAGTGTACACAGTTAACTTTTCAGATTTAGGTGAAATGTGCATTGGCTTACAGTATGAAATTTCACAATGTTTGAAAATTCATGTCATTGAGATACGTAATCTAAATCTGAGCAAAGTTCTTAATTCAGTCAATGCAAATGGGATTGATGTGACTGTATATGTGATATTAAGAGGAAAGATAATTAAAAATGAAGCTATCCCTTCACAAGGAGAATTAGGGAATTTATACTTTGATCGTACTGTTCTAGTGAATCTAAAGAAAGAGGATAGTTTAGAAGATGTACAAATTTATTTTCAGCTAAGTCATTTAAATCGACATGGTTTAAAACAAGCACTCGGTGAAATTAGCATCGGTTCAAAGTCAACACAGAATACAGGAATTAAGCATTGGTTAAATCTGTGCAAAAATCCATTAGAGGTGAATATAATGTGGCATATATGGAATCCAGTATCATAAACTATGCTGAAGAAGCTGAGCAAACCTTCTTAATCAAGTGAAATGGGATAATGAATTGAATATTGGATTTTAGTAGATCTTTTGTAAATAAAGTAAACTTTACTTCATTTCAACAATTGCGTTTAACCATTTACGATACATCAAAATGAAACTGCATACTGTCCTTATGATATTTACTTTGCATCTGCCACCAAGTTAATTTCTTTGAAGGTATAAAGTAAACTATGTAAGTCTTCTAAGCATGATTACAGATACTGATAAGCATTAGATGAAATGAGTAATAAACCCTGGTGAAAGTTTTGATCTCTACTGATTGATACACATACTTTCATGTTGAAACTATAATTTCCTTCTGCTTTATCAAGTAATAACACAATGAAATATTGTTTATATATTGTAACTGATGTGTTCATATTCAATGTTAAATATAAACATTTGTTTGGATGAAACATTGATTGGTTTTTGGTAATAAGATCTTTACCTATAATTCAGGTTAAATGAATAATCCAAAACTGTTTCTGTTCTGCTGTTGGAATGATATTTGTGAAAAATAAAATACCAGTACTATAGATTTATTTGATCTGACATATAGAAAGCTGTTTAGAATTTCATATACTTATCACAGTGGAAATTGGTCATTTACCTAACGTATTCACGATATGTGATTGAAATGATATACTGTCAGATGTATGTTAGATTTCGACCAAAACTATTGATTAGTGAGTCCATATAGCTGATAAGACTAATAAGACAGTTAAATTTCACAGTTTCTGGAGTGGTGTATAGGATACATCGTATAAGTCGTAATATCAGCGTTAATTTTACAAGACGAAATCAAAGGAATCAATAAAAGACTCTAAGACTGGTCGTAGAGTAAAGAATAAGTTTATCTTAGTAAACTAAAATTAACCAAAATCAAAAAGTGTCCCCACATTATCAGTCTTAAGAAATTTCAATCATTTGAGCTTATTGGTTGGCGAAGTAGAAGCAGTGAGTGTTACAGTAACACACTACAAAATAATGAAACCTTTAACTTAGTCAGTCCTTACAACTATAATTTGCTTCCAATCATAGGACATTATTTAAATAATATCTGATTTTGAATTAAGCTATTTTTTATTATTAGTTGATTGGTGTATGTTGGCCAGAAATTGATCTCTGTTGATGTATTGGCTCTTAGCAGGGTCGCTTTGATGATTTCTAAGGGTCAACATGATGTTATTTGATTGCTGGTGGATAGTATTAGAATCCGGGATGCACTTTGGGGCTGGCCAACTGGATGTACCTGCAGCTTCCACTAAGTGATGTTGTTATCATTGAAACTTGAACCCGACACTCACTCTAAAGCTCAAATACAAAATAACTTAAACAAACAATATCTGATACTAGTTGTACAAGAGGTGTGTTGTTGATGCAGTGGTAGAATACCCGACAACAACGCACATGGTCTGGGGTTCGAAACCTGACTGACGCACTCCTTAATCTCTTTAAGCCAGTAACAGTCTCAGTGAAGAGAGAAGGTTGAGCTTGAGGTTAGCAGAAAACACCATTGGTACTGGGATTTCAAAAATGAAGTTTTCAGCCCAATGCTTCACTCGGAAAGCAAAGGAATAAAATAAGTAACAACTGAGGACAATAGGTACTAACTTAGAGTTTCATTGGGAACAACACCACTTACTAGAGATGCAGATACATCCAGCAGACTTGTAAATAGGATGAAATACGTAGTATGCATTCCACTATCAATCAGCTGCTATCAACAAAATAACATCAAAGTAATCCATGTCACCCGAAATCCATCAAAATAGGTGAGCTGTGTATGTCAGAATTTAAATGTTGCTACACACTACTGGTTGATTGATACGAGAAGTTGGATACCACTCAGATCAACCAGTAGTGCTTGGTATTGCCGTTTAGCCTATTCGAGACACCTCAATCTACTCCGATATTTCAAAAAAATTTATACTAGTCCTCTTAGAACACTAAGTCACCCAAAGGTTTTCTTCTTAGAAAACGTTTTCAAATAAGAATAATAATAGTAATGGTGAAAGTGAATTAATCTTACTGTATAATTTCAAATCAACTAGAAGCAGTCTGAAATAACTAGGATTGAAGGTGTATACTGTGATGCAACGTTAGACTTAAAGTAGGCATCTGAAATATGTTTCAAAACGGCGAACCCCAGAATATCAACATATCTGATAGTGAGTGCAGGCTGAAATAAAAGACTACTTAAACATAGCCTACAAGTGGGTACATGATGGTTCTGAAGTTGATTCACTTGTTTCATTTATAATTCTACTATTTTGTATTTTTTATTTTTCATTACGAGTGGGTCATAAAACTTTAAGCCTTAAAGTTTCAACAATGGTGGTGTCTCATTTATGGAGTAGGATTGCAAGCACCACTTGCGAATGTACCTTTTTCTGAGCTTACTACCGAGTAGTCGAGCTTTGAGCATAAGTTGGCTGGAAATCGTATCTAAACCCTCTGTGTGACTGTGGAGCACTCTACCTAAAATACGCCTAAAATATATCTTTCATTCATTACTGTAGGTGATAGTTTACTTTGAGCTGAGGCTCTCTATTTTACTAACTTCAGTAATATATTGACTTGTGGTCAGTGCAATTTCAAATGGATAAACTATTCAAGTGAACTAAAATAAGGTCCATTCGATATTGTATACCGTTCACTCGAAGAGATACAAGCAAGTCAGTTCATCAATCTGTATGCTGAAAAATGTCATCTTAAAACCTTTTTTGAAAAAGTATTAGTATTGCGTTAGATGATTGGAGGCGCTGTGAAAGGAGCCCCTAACCTATGTCTCCCGCTCATTGGCGTTCTAGAGTTAACATATGGAACTGGTTAATTACCAGGTACCAGTCAGTATAACGAATATAGTCCTACGGAAAGTTCATCATGGGCGCGAACAGTTAAGCGGTAACACTACTGATTGAAGTACTGAATGATGTAGGTTAAGATGTGTGAGGAAATATCAGTTCCTTGTAGATACACCTGACAGACATATATATAGAAGGTTTCGCCTGTGGATTAATAGTTCTGATCTCTTCGTGTTTTCCGTTTTGAAAAAAGTTTTTCATATTTTACACAAGCACTAATTAAATCAGATGTGATTTGGTTTGCAGAAACAGAAGTGTCAGCTACTAAAAGCAGTAGAAAAAAGGAGACTGTTCGCCATGGAGTTGACAGACTAAACTGTTATCGAATTGGGTTACGGCAGACTGCGACCGTTTCTTTGCACCTAAGTTGATATATTCAGTGAATCTTTTACATTCGTCCGGAGTCAATTCGTATAGGGCAGAGGACCTTTGATTAATATTCCGCTGCAGTTCGGGCATACGTGATCTGATAGAATCAGCACAATTCACTGCACGACGTCGAAAAGACTTCGTATTTGAATATATATGATTGCATTGCAATGCTTTACAGAACCACTTTGGATACTGATGATACTGTTATTAACAAATCGTAAATTCATAGTGAGGTTATCTGAGATAACTTTGAGTCCTTATTATTATTCCCTCAGGTCCCAAGTAGAACATAGGACGTAAGCAGCAGAACACCATTTCACCCTGCTCTTTGAAATCTGGCTCTGTGATGGCCCATAAACTTCCATTTCCTCTTAACATAACCTCCTTCATGTCATTTTTGGACTCCTAACTCGTCGGTTCCCATTCTGGTTCCACTCGAGGTCCTGGGTTATTATTATTATTACCCTGGTTTCTGAATGGAACGTGGGGCTTCAACAACACATCTACACTTTCTTCTGTTTTCTGTTGTCCTCTTCAACTGGGTTCATGACTGCCCATAGTCTCTCATCTCCTCTAACTAGCATGATCTCCTCCATGTCACCCTCACACCGACGACTCACTCGTCTCCTCCCATTGAGATTCCACTCAAACGATGGACCGCATTGCGCGTAATGTGATTTGACGGCCTCCTCAATGTATCTCCATTTTTTCCCACATATTTGTTGAGCAATCGGCTCTTCGTTGGTTTGCTCATCATCAGAGTTTCTTGTCGCCAATTCTTTCTGGCCTGCAGGCAATTTGATCTTCAGTATGAAGTCAGAGAAGGGGGCAGCTGTTGATAAAGGTTTGCAACCTGTTGGAAATGCTTTTCATGACACGCAGTGGAAGTTTATGACTCGTAAATTGGTGTTGAAAAACCGAGGCTTATTCTTTATGTTGAGTTAGTGCAGAAGATTCCCAAACTGGTTTCAGCTTGATGAATGTATATCCGATTCTGGTTGACTTTGACATATTCATCCGTTCCAGCTGCCCGTAGTTGAAACGATGCTTCCTAGATAAATGAAAGAGGCAACCTCTGTCAAATCTATCTCGTTGATTGTGATTGGTGCTGGTTGCTGTTGTTGGTTGGTTGATTATCTTCACTACCTCCGTCATCTCTGTGTTCACCTGCAGTCCTGTCTCCACCTCCTGCTTCTTCAGCCAGTTTTTTGGTTTTCACCTACATGTCTTCAAGTTTGTACGACATCAGGCCTATATCATCTGAGAAATCCAGGTATTCTAGAGTCTTCTTGTCGGTGGTCCGGCGTACTCCTTTCTCCTTGCTCCCCATAGTTTGATATATGATCCAGTCCACCACAATTAAGAATATCATTGATGATAATGGGCAGGCAGCCTTTTCCCATTCCTGTTGTCTTCACTTCGGACGCCTTGCTGAGTTTCCCGTTGCGGATCACCTGACACGTGCCACTATCATATCACCAGCTGTTGAATGAGGTTGACAAAGATTTGGGGTACTTCACACCGTAGTGTTGAAGTAGTTTCCAAATTACTTCTCGGTCAACACTGCCTGTCGAAGGCCTTCTCGAAGTCGATGAAGTTGAAGTGGAGTGAGGTTTGACTGCCATTCTATGCTTTGTTTGATGATGATGGGTAGAGTTACACTTTGATCAGCACATGATTTGCCTTTCCCGAATCCAGCTTGTTCCCGGTTGTGGGCGGTGTTCTACATCCAGTTCATTGTTCATTGTCTCCAGGAGGACACGACTTAGTATTTTACACCTAGCGTGGACATGAGCATTATTTCACGTCAGTTCTTGCAGAGTGAGGCGTTAGTCGCCCTTTTTTGGTAACTTCATCAAGTAGCCAGCCTTCCTTCCAATCGGTGGGCACCTTTTCCTCCTTCCAAACCGTTTGAAATAATAGCGTGAGCACGTCTGTGGCAGTCTCTAGGTCGGTTTTCAGTGTTTTTAGAGGGGAGTTCTACCTGGTCCTACCACCTTCCCTATTGGACTTCATTAGCTTGATCGCATTCAGGATTTCTGCTTTTGTTGGGGGATTGATGTCAACTGTTAGGCAGTTCTGTGCTTGCTGTTGGTAATAGAAGTATTTTTGTGTGAGGTGTAGGTGATGGTCGATTCAAGGGTCCTTTGTAGTGATCAAACCATCGTCTTATTTGTTTGCCGCTCCTCCTTGATAATTGGGTTCCTTTGAACATCTTTATAGGTTTCCCTAGCTGTGTTGATCTCTTCCGGGGTAGAGACCTGGTTATCTGATATAATGTTCTGAGGTCTCTTTTATCTGCGCCCTACCTGGTCTGCTTTAGTTGCCGGCCAGCGTGTCGTAGAATTGTCTTTTGTCTTTCTTAGCACTCTTCTTCACTCCTTTATTAATTACAGTGTACACTGAACTTAGATTCGCCTTCTGTTCTCCATCTTTGCATTGATTCATCTTCTCTTTCGCGATCCTCCTCTGCTCGATTAGCTTCCAGGTGTCTGTTGAGAGCCATTCCTTATCTTGTGTCTTCTTTCTTCCTAGAGCGGTTGAACACATTTCCTTGAATATCGACGTCAGAGAGTTCCAATATTCTATCACTCAAGTTTCCCCAGTGATGACACGTAGTGTGACCGACTTTGCTCTGATATGTGTAGTGAAGGCATTCTTTGTAGTTTTGTCCTTCAGTTTCTGAATGTTAAACTTGAATTGTGGTCTGTCTCTAGCTGTTCCGAAGGGTTTCAGCTTCACCCTAAAGGTTTATTGAATTAGATGATGGTCTGAGTGAGCCCAAAATTGATTAGCCATCTTCTCGCACTTATTACGTCAGCCCAACTTCTGCCTCCATTCTAATTTCCAACTAGTCACCCCTTCTAGATTACACCCTACATCACGTAATACATTTTCGAAGACAAATGTTACCAGTATCTGATTGATCTAATGAATTCATTGCTAAATATAATTAGAACTGTACAGCTTATGAGAATGAATCTCCAAAAAGAAAATTTTCTTTGCTGTTTACGCATTTTTCTTATGACTTAATATGGCAATATTTCATTCATTAAAAGGAACATAAGCGTGAGGACAAATAAGTAAATATCAGTTTGAATAATTTATTTCAGATACACTGTATATCAAGTTAATCATAAAGGACTGACTTTCTTGATTTGACTAATATTTAAATAATTTGTAAAAATGTTTTCTGCCAGAAAAGCCAGTGAATATGCAAAACGCTGTATACTACTGATTGATTATTATGAGTAGTTCAGTATCACTCCCACTGTGCAGTAGTAGCACTTGTCGTTTAGTCGGATAGAAGTAATATAAACATCGGACGGCCATTTTGCTCGTCCGGCTCACTTCCATCTAGCTAGCTGACACTGCTGGATGATGTGAATGGTATCAAACTACTCACATCAAATAATCAGTAGTCATACATTTATACTTGCTTTCTTGATAACCATTTATGATAATAAGCATATTATGCATTGGGATCTGAATAATTTTTATTTCCAGAGGAATTTGTGATGAAATTTCACTTTGAACAGTGTAAACTGCAAGTTGTGAATCTGATTAGTGAATATGGTTCAGCTGTATAATTAGTCACACTTGTTTTAAGAAGAGGTACTTTTACAGTTAGCTATCGGAAATAAGTAAATGAGGCGCTCATCTGATTACTGATTACACTCCTATTTTCTGAGTGGATGATGAATAGAATGTATTGGTTATTTGTATCTGTAATTAGCTCTGACCGAAGACTAGTAAAGTACATGTTAATAGAGACAGGACAGGAGTCAGGAGTTCGTATTCACCAAAATTATTTCTTTTGTGTGTTTACAATAAACTGAAACGAATTTTATTGAACAAATACAACAGTACAGTAGAAAAAATAGTCAGTCAGCACATAGTGGTTAATCTTAGCACCTAAATTTAAAAATTGTTGTGATCGAAATCCTATTAATAAAATTCAGCTCCAGAGATAATTCAGACGGGTATGTGTTTGGAGTAGGTAGTTGAACCACTTAGTTTAATAGATTGAAAATTTTCAACGAAAGAATGAAGTAGGACTGGATATATTTGAGCCTTCCTTGGAAATTTATTATCTGCTTTGTTTTGTACTTCATGCGGTAGAGTACCGAACTGTTTATTCGGTTGCCGCTAGTTTAAACTGTGCCATGATTCCGATTTTTATTTCAACGTCCGTTGTCATGCACAACATCGATCATAGTCTGACAGTTCTTAGGATGTCTCACCATCTGTAAAATGTCAAGATTACCTGTCTTGTTCGAAACTGTTTACTAATATTCAGAATATATAACCAATGTATAACCAATATAGCCCTCCACGACCTTTATCATGAACTCCAGTAGCTCAGTAAAAACACTTTTAATCACAGTAGTGAGCAAAGTGGGTTCTAATCTCCTAGAGGAAATCAGTCCCTTCGTGGCTACTGATACGCCCTACTGACTAGTGCTAATGAGCAAGAAATTTAAGCTCAGAGTTTCCTGGTGATTACCTCCAACCATCTAACATTAATTCAAACTGTTCAGCACTGGTCAGTCTGTTAGCTTGTTGACCACACGACGAACTTCACTCGCATAATTCAGTAAGTACCAACACTAAGTACTAGACACATTACAGTGCTTCCTCCTGAGTGACTAATCAATATAGTAATCGGATTATATAGTTGAAGTCATAACTTTTGATAGAAAAAGAAGTCAGTGAAACAAGTGAAAAATTATTTTATTTCATTCATTTTCATACACGTACATAAAAGTGAAGTTAATTAGTAGCAGCATACCGAGTGAAAATTATATTGCAAAAATATTCATTTAGACATCTATAAGACACAAAATAATCGAGCAAAGAATATTCTTTTCGATAAATTCCTCTTCCAGACTCTACAATTATATATATGTTTATATACACAGAATATTTTAAATTAGTAGTTAATAACAATTCAAATCGATATTATTTAAAAAAACGCTAATATTGTTATTAACTACTAATTTAAAATATTCTGTGTATATAAACATATATATATATATATATATAATTGTAGAGCCTGGAGGAGGAATTTATCGAAAAGAATATTCTTTGCTCTATTATTTTGTGAAAATTATATTTCAATTAATTTTTTCCACAGCATTTTACTGTTAACTAACCATAAACATGAAATATTGAAATGACCAAAAGGTCACCTATGGGATCAGAGGAAGGACGAATATCGGTATAGGTTAACATAATCATAACAAAATCTCCGAGGACAACCAATCATCGTCGAAGTCACCTGGACAGACAGATTTTTCATGTATTAACATTTCCTAAAGGTCACTTCACATTAAAGTTACCGTTGAATATGTTGTCCAGATGGAGAATCAGTCTTCTCAATTAAATCATTCTATTCACAGAAAACAATAACAAATCTCCATTACCAGAAGTAATTGTATACAATACTAGTTAAAAGTTATTTTGAACACGTTTCATTCATATTTACACCATCGATGATGCTTGAGGAAGACAGACTGTTTTTTATTGAAGTTGATGGTGAAACTAGAGAATACTTGAATTTTGACGAGTGAACATTTGAACATGGATTGCTGTTTTTGAATGAATATTTACCAATGTGTCTGTCTTGGGTAACTTTTGATTTACAGTTATCTACACGAAATGCCAGTAGAAATATCCATGTAGTATTACAATATAATTCAAGAAACAGAGTTGACTTCCATAGTTCTTATTTTCATGTATTCCTTAAACTTTCTTATGACATTTTCTGATTCCCTCTGATGATGCATGATAGTATGAAGGAAATCATATTCGATAATTGGTTTCAAATTTCTTTTCTTATTCTTTTCTGACATGCCATTGTACCAGTTAGATGTTGTCAATTCACTGACATTTTTCCGTGTATTTACATTGATTTGTAGTAACAGCATAATAATCACATGAACACATTTGTCAACTTTGAAAAGTAATGGAGCATTTAACTGTGGTAGGCTTGTTTTAATATCCTCCAACAATGTTAGCATATCTTTATGCTGTGTAAATGGAAGTTTACCGGTTGTTAACAGATGCATAATAACACCAACAGACCAAAAGTCTATTCCAGGAGATTTTAAACTCCACAATTCCTTCAGAGTATGATAAATGTTCTCCACTGAAGTTGAATTGAAACGATGAAGAGAATTCAATACAAGGTTAACATATCCTGGTGACATGTAGATAAACATTTTGGTTATATTGTTAGTCAATATATTGATTTCTGTCAGTACACTGAAATCCATTACTAATGACACTGAAGACGGGTTGTCTGTCTTGAAGAGTATATTATGCGGTTTAATATTTCCATGGACAATCTTCTTGCTATGCAGATAGTCAACAGCAATACTTAAATACTGAATAGTCTGACAGACATCTTCAACGCTTAATGAATTTCTTTGTTGAAACCATTCGAAAAGATTACCATAGGAAGAGAAATTTGTTAGAATTGTAAATTTTGTTTCATCTATCCCGATAGCATAAGATACTATAAAATCTCGATTCATTGTAAATTGAGATTCTTCAAATCTTTGTAATAATTTTAAACGGAATATATTTCTCAGTAAAATTTTCCAAAATTTTGTAATTGGCCAATAGCTGACCTTGAATTCTTTACAAACAATCTTTTTATTCAATGGGACAATAACTCCCCATCGATATGAGGCGAATTCATTCAGTTGAGTAGCACCGAATGCAATTTTCAATATAATATTCTCCATGTTTATTTCATGTATTTCAATATGAACAGTTGGGTTTTAGGGAGAGAGAGAGTGTGAGAGAGAAAATGTTGTTTACTACGAGACTATATATACACAAACAATATGAGTAATAATTCGTCACATGTATTACCTGTGAAGATATACACAAGACACAGAGAGAAAAAACAACAAAGACTCATGTGACGCCAAACTAAATGACAGTATTATTATTTTTACTTTTTGTGGTGTTTAATCTAATAAACGCACATTTTTAAAAGCATATTGCCGCAACATGCGTATATTGAGCATACCCACTTTTATCAATTCAATAGAAGGAAGTTATTAGTGTTTATTTTGAAAAACAAAACAAAACAAATTTTGTAATGTTTATACAGATAGAAGTTATTTTTCTATTTTTCGCTAAATATATGTTGGGTCAAATGATAGTCATGAAATTCCATCATTAAAATAAACCACATCATGAATGTATTCATGTACTCAACCTATCTACTATCAGGTGATGTCAATATATTTCATTTTGCTAATATGTAAGAACATGTCTAATTGATTGACTTTAATTTAGAAAACCACTATTTTGTTGTATGATTAAAGGTGTAAACAGACTTGTATATTTATTTTCAGTCATACTAGTAGACATTAGAAGTATTTTCATGAATATCTATGCACAACTAGAGTTGACTGCCAAACATTTAAACAGTGTGAGAATTTGACTGTCTATTTCTAGGTAGCACACACCACACTGTGACACAGAAAGGTGAGTTTCATTACACAAAGCAGAGTGTCTACCCACACAATTTCATCAACAAGTATGTCAAGAAGGAATGTGAGAATCCAGATATAATTCCAATCAGTAAAAAAACAACTGATTTTCAGTTAATTTGACCTTAAAAGGCGTGATGATATTAAGAGAACGATAAATAAACCTTTAGATGTAGCGCAAATCAGGACGTATCTTGCAGCAAAACTAGTCTGTCTGTTCTGAACATATTGTTCATTGGCACAGTGAGAAAGTGACAGGCACACTTAATATGTTACCTCCAACTGTGTACATCAATACATGTGTACCTGCTGAGCATTTAAATTGTATGAACCGAAAGAATGGCCTAGAGTAGATTCTTTGAACATGTACCAAAGAGGCTTCGGTGAAGGGGACAGAACAGTTTGAACTTTTCAGTTACCAAACATGTGATAGATACCGAACACCAACAAGGACGCATTGGCTGCATTCAAAGTAATTCATTAACAAAACACCCCTTAGGTCTCCTTCAATTTGCTGAAGCAGTGGATACAAAATGACTGGAGCCTGACTTATATGTTATAAAGGAATATGATGTGGGAATTCAGTCACCCTGGTAACTATCTCCTCAGTACTTCTTTTTCTTCACATTCCAACAATTTGTCCCCCTTACTTCTCCCTAGATTTCATTATTATTATTTCCTTTAATTCCTAGAGAAACATAGGGCTTCAGCCGTGCGTCTCCATTGCGTTCGGTTCTCTGCTAGAGTCTTCACCTGGCTCCAAGTCTGCCCATATGCTTTCATCTCCTCTTCACATGACCTCCTCCAAGTCACCCTTGGACGACTAATTCGCCGCTTCCCTTTCGGGTTCCACTAGAGGGCTAGTCTAGTGATGTCACTTGATGGTTTCCTCAGAGTATGGCCAGCCAATCCATCTCCATTTCTTCCTGCCTATTTGTTTCACAATCGGTTCCTTGTTGGTTCGCTCCCAGAGATCCCTCCCTGTTGCTGATCTTTTCTGGCCATCTGATCTTGAGTATTGAGTGAAGACAGCTGTTAATGAAGGTCTGTAGTTTGAGATTTCATGTCAGACTTAATTTTGGATCCTTTGAATTCTAATCACATTGTGACAGCATCATCTTTTCAGACGATCTTGTGAGTTTTACTCCTTGTATTTTATTATCTTTGTTTACGCACTTACTACTTCCTTACCACCACCCCAATAACAAGTTTATTTATTAACTTATTTTTTACGAGGAAATTCCTTTTTATAAAAATAATATATATGCATATTGTGGTACTCTAAGAAAACTTATCATCCTTATATTCTGTTTCGTTATGACATTCTTACAAGAATCCTTACTGGAGGAATGATTCCTGATGACGAACAAAATTGTAGCATAAGTTGCCATAATAAATGTTACAGGTTTTACGCAGATGACGAGAAGTGACGAAACTCAATGAACCTATGTTATTTTGCATTAATGTTTGTTCTTCCTTTGAAAAGAAATACGTCCAGCTGTTGTCCCTACCATGGGCATCATAAAACGTCTGTCCTGTCAATATTGGTTATCCTATTACCTTTCTTATCCAACCTTCCTGTTTATTTCTGTTGCTTTTGGTTTTTTAATTCCTAACATTAATACTACTTTTTATCCAAACTATCTGCCTATTTTGTTACCACTACAATTTTAATCACCAATTGCAAAAACAGTCAAGTTTTTCAGTATTTATGATCTAACTATGTCTTTTTATCCGATCTTCCTGTTCGTTACACTTTGTAATTTTATTAATTTGACCTTTGACCGGAAATAATTTCTGGAACTTACTCACACATTTAATATAAGTACACGAAAGTACAGCCTAGCTGATGATTTCGTCGAAAAGAAAATTTTCTTCACTGTAACCGTCTTTTTAATAATTCCTGTGATCTTATGTGTATTTTCAAAAATATGAAATTGTATACGTTTAAAGTATTCCAGTAAAAATGAATAATAAATTGAAGAAGCCATCGGCAAGTATCGCGTTTTCTTAGCTTCTTTGACTTCATCAACAAATTACTGTAAAAACCTGATGTCTCTGTCAGAGTAACGTACGGCTTCATTACTTTAGGTATCATTATAAAGGTAGCCAATTTAGCTATTCGCACATTGAAATACTGTCACTTATATCGACTGACAATACTACAGAGCACGCATAAATTCCTATTAATGGTACTCATCGAGGAGGGTCGAAAAGAATATATACTGTGACACTAGTCAAAGAGGAATCACTGTATAATAATGTCTAAGATGAAGTTACGTAGTCAGTAATATTATCCTGATCCATGGGGAATAATTTCCACCTGGCTAAAAGCTATTTCTTCTTAGCGCGTTAAAATTTTATCATGTATTCCCAACTTCTTTACTTCTTTTGGCGTAATTAACTGGTACTCACAAGTAAGCGACTGACAAACGTTACATTCCTTTTAATTGCTTGTGATGAGTCTTAGGTGTGTAACTACTGTAAACAAGATGTTTACCAGAATTCACGTGTAACCATGAAATGAAATGCTTTGAAGTTTACATTGGGATTACTTCTGAACCTAAAAAATTAGAAATTCCGTTTAAAAAAGACACCATTCAATGCGCAATTTCGGTTCAAGCTGCTGAGTTTCAGTAACTTTTTCTCTAATTTTCCTCTGCATTTCTTCACAAGTCTTCATCTATGATACGCTAAAAAGGTCTTAAGCTACTATTAATCTCTGTACTTCTGGTTATGAGAAATCCCTAAAATACATCAAAATATTAACCTTCCTCGTTATCTAAATAGCACAAAACAAGACATGCACTTTGCGTATTGCCTATCGTTATGCTGTTGCAATAGTTTCGAAACCAGATTGCATACATTCTGCATGTTGATACAGTAGCTACTGTGTACAAGTTAATACAAACGAATCATTACTACTGCCTTAAGTTCTAATTACATATTTGTAAATACAGGATGGAAGAAGCTAACAGCTTTATCTATAGTCTCCTTGTAATTGAATAAACCCGACTTGATACGATGTTCAGACGATGCTGACTGAACCAATCAGCTTGATTTCAGTAGTTGAGCTTCATAAACGAATTTTCCATCACTGAAGAGGAATTCCAGCTAAAAGACAGTGAAATCTATTAAATGGCTTAAATTGGTGTACTAAAGTCAATTAATAAGTCATTATTTTTCTGACCAAATTTTAGATTTACGCGAATTTACAGTGTTCTTAACAGAGACCGTAGATGCTTTTAAATATATTGTAGGATTAAATGGCTAAAACCTAAAGGAGAGTCACTAATAATCAAATAGAACTTTCATCCTAATAGTTGCAAGTGAATGTCATTTTTTTGGAAGTCATATCTTGTGCGTCTTCTTATCTCTATATTTTGTCCGCAAAAACAACCGCAATACCAAAAGTGTTTTCGTCAGTATGGTTAGAAATATTGAGAGTTACAACTTGAAACGAATTCCACAAACGTGTTGTTGAAGAGATATGGCTTATATAAATTTATTTAATTGACTTTATAAGATGGGTAGCATAGTCGCGGTATAATTCAAGAGACAATCTGTACTAATTATTGTTTCAGAAGTGCACATAATTTCAAATAAACTAGCTGACTGGAAACACTGACGGAATAAGCGTGCTGTACATTACAGATGAGAAATTTGGACACAACTAGAAGGTTTCACCTTCTTTCGGATCAAACCGGTGAAAAAACACATTCAAAATTATATTACCATCAGAAGTGCAGTGAGTAAAACTAGAGGTGAGGGAAGAGTAGTTTATCGCATTGAAAATTATAAAAGTGTCTCAAATTAGTTACAAATCCGCAAAACTTTAGGCATAAGAACCTGGGTGAATCAGACAGTACAGAAGACCCTTAAAGTAACACATAACATTATGTTGTATGCTTAATGAACTGACCATGGGGCCTGAGTGCTATCACTTACAAATACCATCTTAAATCATTTTCAAGAAAATGTAGTGTCAACCTACTGAGGAGTCTCAGCCCATCTGGTCTCAACGGTGAATAATTTCAGTGGTACTTTAGATGACATTATAAGAATTCATTAAAGGCTCTAGACAAAGAAGCTTAACATTAGTCAATTAGATAATTTGTGGAAATTTGGTAAACAAGAAATCCCGAATAAATATAAAATAAATGCACAGATATTTTCATTTGATAAATCTCAATTCATTGAAATTTTGACACAAATGATGAGTACTGTCGGGTGATTTCATGTGTCAAATAAATCCAGATCAAAGGAATCAATGAATTAGAAT